CTAGTATATATATATATCTAAGTAATTATCTACACTAGTATATATATATCTCAGTAATTATCTATACTAGTATATATATATCTCAGTAATTATCTATACCAGTATATATATATCTCAGTAATTATCTATACTAGTATATATATATATCTAAGTAATTATCTATACTAGTATATATATATCTCAGTAATTATCTATACTAGTATATATATATCTCAGTAATTATCTATACTAGTATATATATATCTCAGTAATTATCTATACTAGTATATATATATATCTCAGTAATTATCTATACTAGTATATATATATACCTCAGTAATTATATATATATATATATATAATTTATGTATATATATATATATATATATCTATACATAAATCAGTAATTATTGTTGTGTACCCAGTACTGATCTATCCTGTTTTATGAGTTTACTGTTGATGTTTAAGCCTGGTACAAGATTAAGGTATGTGCTTATGTTAAGTTCTCTGAGTAAATTACCGACACGTTTAGCTGTAGCTGTGTAGTAAGGATTATATACGACACCTGTATTGATCTGCTATCCCGTAGACGAGGTCGGTACCATGTGACACAGGTAAACAATACCTGGCCAGGTAGACGACGCTTTACAGGTGTGAGACTACAACATATGGCCTTGTGGGTATAGTGAACACCGAGTGTAACACGCTGCTTAACTTTCTGAGGATCAACATTAGGACAAACATGTGAAATGGACAACATGATGTGTTCATTCTTTGGTTTTAAAGTGTGGATCAGTATGTCCTGTGTTCTAGCTGTTTTGGATGGAAAGTGTTGATATTTGTTTGTCCCATCACAGGTAAATACTCCCTACTACCTCGTGTGACTTCCTTCAATGTTATCTACCTGGTCTTTTTGAATAATGATGTCACATAATGATTTGTATAGCAAGTGAAGTAACAGAGTACAAACCAAGAAAAGTATTGATGTACATTGTATATCAGAAGTGTTGGTGTCAAAACTGTAAACTTTTGTCATTGTTGAAAGCTTGGGGTGAAATTTGATGTTAAAACTGCAATAGGTATTATAGTGTGAATTTTAACATTGGGTAGAAATGAAGTTTTATGTGAAGGTAAATAAAACTTTAATTGGGTGAATGTTTCCCATATATTTATATATATATCAAAATTGTATGTACTTCGTTAATTTCCAATCAAAATAGAAGGAAGTGAGATATAAAATCCAGAAAATTCAAAATTGAGTTTTGGAATATTTATGATTTTTGATTTCCTGGTTCAAAGAGCTGGGATGTTTTCAAGTGTTGCCCAGTAAAGCCAGCATATCCGGTAGACACTATGTCTTTATGTACATAGATCAAGAGAAAACTGCCATTTTTATCCAGCTGTTTATCACTTCCTAATTATCACACTGGTAACATAAGATGTATCAGCCACAGATTCAAACTGTTGGCTTTAGTTTGGCAATTTGAAGACTGCAGTGATATACAACCAAAACTGGAACATTAGTATACATCGCTTTGTGTATTTATATAAATTTGCTGATATCACAAGGAGTTGCCTGTTAAAATATAGACCCTGAAACTGGTTTAGATTTTGGGAATGTTGGTTAAAAAGAATAACAATGAAGTGAGAAAAGAAGATTTTTCAGCATGGAATTTATATGGAATGTTAAATTCTCTGTTTGAATCTACCTTTTCCCTTCATATTTAAGTATATGGAATGTTAAATTCTCTGTTTGAATCTACCTTTTCCCTTCACATAACTGCAAGATTTCACAATTACTTACAAAAACAATACAAACATGTACTACTGTTCTTTTCCATCCTGTCAGCTGTCACTCAAAATTTACATACATGTAATATGTCAATTAACAGTTGATATACAAAATTATGTTGAATCGGTTTTTTCTCACAGCAATAGGCACTGCTTTCAGATGTCTATACTCATTTTCTTAACTGTATTTATGATGAATAAGTGTCCAGCTTGACCAGGTGAATACTTTTCTAAAAATAATGCTGTCTCAAGCATTATGTAGAAAGTGATGATGTTAATCAAAAACAAGGCTACATCAGCAGAATGATGAGTGCATCAAAATGTGGGGGTAGTAGTGTTTGATTCAGTCTTATCATAGAATGGACATTTCAATTTGTCTTACATCTGGATCATATGCAAATGCAAACCTCTTACAGATATCTTCATCATTGTTCAATATCAAACATTTTTTCAAAACTCAATGAAATAGACAAGCTTAGATTTGTAATTTGTTCATTTCTATCCCAAAACAGACATTTTCTTCAGCAATGGCCACCTTTAACACCCAGCATATGAAACAAATAACCTTGATCTTTTTTGTTAAAAGAACACATCTTTAGGTCTGACCTATACACCCATTAGAACTAAAAGGAGTTTGTATATTGAAAGCATGTAACTGGATTTTAATGTCGTTTATGGTCAATACAAATGACATTTTTGCACGCAAGCATGGTGCAATTAGTTCTTTGTCCTATACCGCAATCACATGGGTCATAACAAGACAATGCTTTTTTTGTATCCATGTTTATGTTGCTGTATCATGACAAATTTAGCCTTCAGCTCTAGTGAATTCATTCCTTGAGGGATTCTCATCGAACTTTAGACCTTTATAAAGCATCAAAATATCTTCGAGACTTTTAAATTTCAGGGTTGTAAACATGTTAGTGGTAACATTGATGTCAAAATTTTGATCAAAATTGCACACCTACAAACAACCTTGCACAAATTTGAGTTTCAGGACTGTTAGGTAAAGAATAACTGTTTCTATTTTAAGAAAGTCATTGCCAATGCTTTAGTGGCCTTAATCCTTGGGGATATTTTTATCAAACTTCACACACTTTTAAAACACTTGAGTTTCAAGGCTGTTGGGTAAAGATAACTTTTTAGTAAATTATTGTAGTTCTCTAGTAGCTTACAAATGACCATTACATATTATTACACACTGGCGATAAAATCTTTATTTTCAGATTGTCATACTTCTTTATTGCATTGTTCCATTAAAATCAGCTACAAGCAATTGTATGTTTTCCTTTTTTTCCGAATAAACACCAAACAGCGCAATCTTTATGAATGGCTATAGTGTAATAGTTTGTGCAGGCCAGTTTGGACATTTATGGTTTTATCAGAAGTCAGTATGCTTGTTTAATATGCAACTTCTCTTGGTATTTAAAGCTACTGAAGAAAAGACACAAGACTATCACACAGTATGTAAGGCTATTCTGGTTGTCAACAAAACTTTGTAGATACATAAATAGATGTATTTTGCACACTTACCGGTATATTGAACCATCATTTTAAGGTTATCTGACCGGAAGCATCAGAATGACACATAGCTGTCTTGTTTTTGCTATCTTAATGCACTGTGTGTAAACTTGTTACGTTTTAATCTTATCAAGTTTGACAAGTGGGGTTGACCTGAAATGATACTGAGAAGGTCTTGACGAAGTCTTGTTATTTTGATGGGTCACTCCAAAATTAAATATGTTTGCCATTTTGAAAAAACACTTTTTAAACTTGTTTTTAAGTCTCTCTGATGCCATCCATCTGGAAATTGTTGAAAATATTAAGAGAGGGAAGCCAAAAAAATGTTGCTATTTTTCGGTGTTGTTCAGTATGGCAACAATGATGGCCTTAGGGTTTTCCAGAACTACACCTTTTTTAACTTTTAATCCAACCAAAATCCAGTATTACTGATCTTGAGAAACAATTTTGAACCTCCCCAGTTACACTGGTGCCATTGACCTGAAATTTTGTGAAAATTTTGAGAAGCTGAAATGGAAAGTACCTTGACTGCAAACATATTTTGTATTGTTTTAATTATGTAAAAATTATTCCCACCACAACTACTGCCTTGAAATGATATTTAGGTTTTTATAGTTAGATGACACATATGTTAAGACCTATCCGTTATTAACAATTGTGACCTATCTGTAGTACACAACAGCTGTGACCAATCTGGATTACACAACAGCGATGACCTATCTGCTAGTCACAACAGCAGTGACCTATCTGTAGTACACAACAGCAGTGACCTATCTGTTATACACAATAGCTGTGACCTATCTGCTATTCACAACAGCTGTGACCTATCTGTAGTACACAACAGCTGTGACCTATCTGCTATTCACAACAAATGTGACCTATCTGCTATTCACAATAGTTGTGACCTATCTGCTATTCACAGCAACTGTGACCTATCTGTAGTACACAACAGCTGTGACCTATCTGCCATTCACAATAGTTGTGACCTATCTGCTTTTTAAAATAGTTGTGACCTATCTGGATTACACAACAGCTGTGACCTATCTGTAGTACACAATAGTTGTGACCTATCTGCTATTCACAATAGTTGTGACCTATCTGCTATTTACAATAGTTGTGACATATCTGTTATTAACAGCTACTGTAACCTTTCTGTTTTTCACAGCAACTGTGACCTATCTGGATTACACAACAGCTGTGACCTGTCTGGATTACACAACAGCTATGACCTATCAGTACTAAACACATACACAACAACTTTGACCTATCAGTACTAAACACATACACAACAGCTTTGGCCTATCAGTACTAAACATATACACAACAAGTTAGACCTCTCTTTAGTCAACTTATATTGAAATATTTTGTACAAGATCAAGAGTAAATAAGAGAATACGTATCTTTGATGGAAAAGGAATGAAAAAGTGGAAGAAATTTGATCTGTTCTGTAGTCTACTCATTTTGTAGTATTTCTATCTGCAACAATGTTGCTTACAATTAATTTCAATGCTGTACCAGCTGTCAATCCAGACTTTTATGTCTCTTGGACTTAAGCTTTATAACCTGATTGTATTTAGAATATAAATAACCAATCGAAGAAAAAATTGAGCGACTTGTTCTTATTGTTTGAATTATTGAAATATTGTTAAATTGGTAAGAATTATTGACACTTGCTTTAAAATGTATCATCTTACTTTCAGAGCCTTGCAATGGGCAACAAGTCCTCCTCTAGGAAAGATGCAGAACAATATGGGGAGACACGTGCCAGGAGTCGATCATTCAATGGCATCACTTCAAGATTTCGGCACAACAAATCTCCTCCCATCGAACGCAGCTCATCTTTCTCTGAGTCCAGACCAAAACGGGGCAGCTTCAGGTCCAATAGTCAAACCAAGTCAGGTCAGAACGCTCAAAGGAAGTCGTCAAGTACACAGGACACAGGTCAGCCAGTCAATATAAGAAGAGGCAATATGAAAATATCTGAATCAGATACAAAGATTTTGTCTTCATCAGCACCATCTCGTGGACGTCACTTCCCTGCTAGTCATAGTACTGGTTCAATCACATATATAGAGAGTAAGGATCGGGACACCTTGGGACGTGACACACTACGCAGGTCATTCACACATAAAGATAGCACAGGATCACCACGTCTTTCTGCACATAACATGCGTAATGTGTCACATGCTCTGTATGAGGGAAAACTGGAAGATATCTCCAAACGACGTGCTCTTGCCATTATGAATCGTGATCTCTCACTGTCCCAGGCAAGCCTTTCCAAAATGTCCATTAGGTCACAGTCAATGAATAGTCTAGCTGCAGACAATAATATTGACTTTGATCGCAATGGACCCAAGGAAAAAGACAAAAACAGTGTGGAATATTCTCAAATCTCTGTACGACAACGGATTGCCCCTCCACCTATGGATCTCAGTAATGAATACTTTCGTCCACGTACAAGCTCTGCACCTGCTGTTGACATCGTGAAACCAAAATTCAACACTCCAAGATCTATGGCCATGGGAACTAGTGTCCAATTGAGGAGAACTTCACACCAGATTCATTCAGAAAAGAGAAGAGAGCGAGATTTGAAGCGAAGGTCACTTGAAGTAGATGATCGAAAGCGTAGATCTATGGAAATAGATTTAAATCCAAGGAGATATGAGATTCCTGATGATAGAAAAAGGTCACCAGAAGAGGTAGTACATGCCAGGAGGATGTTGGTTTTCCGTGCCCTCAAGGATGAAAGTGAGATTATGTATTCCAATCCTACAGATCTACGATCAATTTCACCATCACTGAGTGAAAGCTGTCTATCTCCAGGCAACAGGTCTGTCTCACCAATGGACAGATCTAGGTCCCCTAGCAACAGGTCTATTTCACCGCATTGCTTTTCTTCAACAAATAGAGCATCATCTCCCGAATGGGGTCATTTTACACCAAGATCTCAGTCACCAGGGGTGGCACAACACAGAAATTCTAGTCCCCGTAGTTATAGTCCTGACACAAGTCAAAGTCAAGTGTCACCAGAGAAGCATGGCAGTAAAACACCACCATCAAAGACTCCAAATTCTAAAAGAGCACTGCCCAACATTGATGAGTATAAGATTCTTGGGAATAGAGCTGCAAGTCGTGAACACTGGGGTTCATATGAAAGTTTGACATTGAGGTCTCAGAAAGATGAAGATTTTAATGATAATAATGATGCTATAAAACGTGAGCGAAGTTTTAGTGTTTCTCTCTCTCGCAAAACCTTTACACAAAATGCCAGTAGTCAGGTTGGTGATAGCGTATTATCATCACATTCTTATAGTAACAGCTGCTCAGGCTTGCAGGAGCATCAAGCAGGTGCCCCAAAAATGGGCACAACTTCTGTGATGCAAAATGCAGCTATGAACCGTCTATGGAGTTATAGTGTGTCTTCCCTTGCTGATATTCCGTTGGATTTAGTCCCACATACACAAAACCGTTACCTTGATGAAACAAGAAATAACAAGGAGGAGTGTGGTATGTATATACTTTCCACATCAATAAGCATGCAAATTAGAATGAATGCGAAGATGGTACAGTCATCCTATTCTATATAACTGATGTTGACACTGGGTCAGAGAATCAATTAATTGAATTTTTAATTCAAATCTATATATAACCCTAAATGCTTTCTCAAATTTCGCTTTCGTCCCTCAATGTGCCAAATATTACACAATGAAACTGATAACAAATTTGCTCCTCTATCAACTTTCACTTGAAGGGTCCCATCACTTCACTATATAGAGGATCATATTGTTCTCCTGTCTACTTTGGTAGGGTTCATCACTTGGCTGTATACAGGATCATATTGTTCTCCTGTCTACTTTCACTTTAAGGGTTCATCACTTTGCTATATAGAGGATCATATTGTTCTGTCTACTTTCACTGGTAGGGTCCATCACTTCACTATATAGAGGATCATATTGTTCTCCTGTCTACTTTGGTAGGGTTCATCACTTTGCTATATAGAGGATCATATTGTTCTCCTGTCTACTTTCACTTTAAGGGTTCATCACTTGGCTATATAGAGGATCATATTGTTCTCCTGTCTACTTTGGTAGGGTTCATCACTTGGCTGTATAGAGGATCATATTGTTCTCCTGTCTACTTTGGTAGGGTTCATCACTTGGCTGTATAGAGGATCATATTGTTCTCCTGTCTACTTTGGTAGGGTTCATCACTTGGCTGTATACAGGATCATATTGTTCTCCTGTCTACTTTCACTGGTAGGGTTCATCACTTGGCTATATAGAGGATCATATTGTTCTCCTGTCTACTTTGGTAGGGTCCATCACTTGGCTGTATACAGGATCATATTGTTCTCCTGTCTACTTTCACTGGTAGGGTTCATCACTTGGCTATATAGAGGATCATATTGTTCTCCTGTCTACTTTGGTAGGGTCCATCACTTGGCTGTATACAGGATCATATTGTTCTCCTGTCTACTTTCACTTTAAGGGTTCATCACTTGGCTATATAGAGGATCATATTGTTCTCCTGTCTACTTTGGTAGGGTCCATCACTTGGCTGTATACAGGATCATATTGTTCTCCTGTCTACTTTCACTTTAAGGGTTCATCACTTGGCTATATAGAGGATCATATTGTTCTGTCTACTTTCACTGGTAGGGTTCATCACTTGGCTATATAGAGGATCATATTGTTCTCCTGTCTACTTTCACTTTAAGGGTTCATCACTTGGCTATATAGAGGATCATATTGTTCTCCTGTCTACTTTCACTGGTAGGGTTCATCACTTGGCTATATAGAGGATCATATTGTTCTCCTGTCTACTTTCACTTTAAGGGTTCATCACTTGGCTATATAGAGGATCATATTGTTCTGTCTACTTTCACTGGTAGGGTTCATCACTTGGCTATATAGAGGATCATATTGTTCTCCTGTCTACTTTCACTTTAAGGGTTCATCACTTGGCTATATAGAGGATCATATTGTTCTCCTGTCTACTTTCACTGGTAGGGTTCATCACTTGGCTATATAGAGGATCATATTGTTCTCCTGTCTACTTTCACTTTAAGGGTTCATCACTTGGCTATATAGAGGATCATATTGTTCTGTCTACTTTCACTGGTAGGGTTCATCACTTGGCTATATAGAGGATCATATTGTTCTCCTGTCTACTTTCACTTTAAGGGTTCATCACTTGGCTATATAGAGGATCATATTGTTCTCCTGTCTACTTTCACTGGTAGGGTTCATCACTTGGCTATATAGAGGATCATATTGTTCTCCTGTCTACTTTCACTTTAAGGGTTCATCACTTGGCTATATAGAGGATCATATTGTTCTCCTGTCTACTTTCACTGGTAGGGTTCATCACTTGGCTATATAGAGGATCATATTGTTCTCCTGTCTACTTTCACTTTAAGGGTTCATCACTTGGCTATATAGAGGATCATATTGTTCTGTCTACTTTCACTGGTAGGGTTCATCACTTGGCTATATAGAGGATCATATTGTTCTCCTGTCTACTTTCACTTTAAGGGTTCATCACTTGGCTATATAGAGGATCATATTGTTCTCCTGTCTACTTTCACTTTAAGGGTTCATCACTTGGCTATATAGAGGATCATATTGTTCTGTCTACTTTCACTGGTAGGGTCCATCACTTCACTATATAGAGGATCATATTGTTCTCCTGTCTACTTTGGTAGGGTTCATCACTTGGCTATATAGAGGATCATATTGTTCTGTCTACTTTCACTGGTAGGGTCCATCACTTCACTATATAGAGGATCATATTGTTCTTCTGTCTACTTTGGTAGGGTCCATCACTTGGCTATATAGAGGATCATATTGTTCTCCTGTCTACTTTCACTTTAAGGGTTCATCACTTGGCTATATAGAGGATCATATTGTTCTCATGTCTACTTTCACTTTAAGGGTTCATCACTTCGTTATATAGAGGATCATATTGTTCTCCTGTCTACTTTGGTAGGGTTCATCACTTGGCTGTATACAGGATATTTTTTGTTTCTTTATGAATGACAGTTATATTTCTTTGAAACATTTATATTTTCCATTAGAGTATCCGATGAGATGAAATGCTAGCGTTGGTTTCAGTAAGGAACAAGGCTCACCCTTCATTACTGGCAGATTTTTAGCAGCTCTGTCTATTATCACATGCTTAATATCTATCATTATCATAAAGTTCTGAATCTCGCACTCCAGTCTTCAAATAATTCAACTTAAACAAAGTAAATAGAATATGTATGAGACTATTATAATTTAATTGAGATGAGCCAGGACCAATGAATCAAAGTGAAGCTATAGTTTCCTCATATTTCATCGTCTTTTGACACGGATGTTTTAAACATGTGTCATAGGGATATCTTTTTTGGATCGGGAATGTGCAAAAGATGTGCTCCAGGTATATGCCCTTTAATGGAGAATTTCTGTCAGAATTAATATCTCTCTTTGTTTTACTCGGTCAAAACACTCAAGACTGGTGATAGTATTGCTTATGATTAAATGAAAATCATTCAATTAATAAAACAGCGATTGAGGTTATTCGCAAAGATTCAACATAAATACAATTATTATCTTCATGTTTTCCTTTGTAATTGTAAGTAATCTGTTACATAGGCCTATTAACATGTCTCAGCATGCAGTCATTTTCGTTTAATCGGTTTGACCAGTAGGCCAGGGTACTTTATTCAATAAATCTGTACAAGTGTACTCATTTATCTTATATTTTACTGTAGACTTCAGCTAAACCATTTAATGTATTTATTAATAATCATGGGTCTGTCTTGATTCATATCTTTAATATTACATAAAAAGTGTCTTAGAATTGGTCTCTCCACAGAAATGAAGAGACCACATGTGACTTTCATTTTTTGATCAGCCGCTTGAGATTAGGAGGTCTATGGTTGGTTGTTCAATAAGTCGTGAAACAGTTAACCCATGGTGTTGATATAAGGGTACATGTAGACAGATTATACAGCATGTGTATTATATGTTTTTCACTGTTTACATTGGCTGGTTATTTCCAAGGGGTGTTTTCTTAGCAAGGTGACATCCTCTTGACAACACAATGTACCATAATCATGTTTTTGTTTCAACTGAAACATTACATATTTATCATTAACATTATAAGAATTAGAAAAAAAAGTCACAACAGTCTTTAAAATGTTGATTTGATCAAGTTATTCGGATAAGTAAGACAGAAGGTTATATCAACAAATATTACAAATTTATGATTACTTGCTCTTCACTTGATAATTGATCTTGACAGGCATAATGAAAAGTTATGGTACTCGTTTGTGGCAGCCATTGAATGTTGATAACCCTGAATAACATGATCAATCCAGCAACTTCAGTTGACCCAAGGATGAGCAGTGTTAATCATTCACATTACAAGTTTTGCCACCAAAAGTAGGTTCCTATAAATAAATAAATAACCTCAAACATATGATATTAATATGGATGACTATATAAATCACGATTCCCAATAATAGTGAAAAGTTGCTTATCTTTATACCCTTTAATTTTGTTATTTGAACACATTCTTTTCATATGTGCATTTTTAGCTCACCTGGTCTGAAGTACCAATGAGCTTATGCCATGGGACTGCATCCACTGTCTGCGAAGTTTTACTGAAACTGTAGGACTGAACAGGTTTTGACCAAATTTGGTCAGAAGCATCCTTTGTGGAAGGAGAACCAAGTTTGTATAAATGGTTCATGGCCCTATGGGTTCAGTTGGCTGGGGATTAGGGGAAATCAT